CAATTAGGTAGATACATTTACATAGGCCTAGCATACGTTATATAATAGTACATATGACGAGGTATGGTGCATGTATTCAAATAACACACATTTGTGATATCTGACATAGTCGACATAAACGCTTATGACTTATTTCCTCACTCGAACTCAAAACACATTTGTCGGAAGCGCAAATTTATGGCGTGCCAAACAGAAATGCCAGTGCTTACTAACTGTAAACATCAGCGAGCCGTCTTATTATAGCTTAGACACAGCTCGACTGGCTGAGCCGCTCAATACGAAATGCTCTTAATAATCTCAAATTGATGATGGAAGACGAGTAAATTGCTACGTGTACGCGAATGAGATGAGACGGCATTCATAACTTAGTCTGATCGCAGCGCTGGTTATTAATTTATTCATGATTAACTTGTCGCTACACGTCATACGTTTCTTCTATTTTATTTTCTTTCATTCCGATTTTATTCGTTGTTGGAGTAGAACTAATACGATTGATTGAAAGGTCTGTCTTTGCCAATCATATAAACAGTAACTACATTGTCGTCTTTGTGCATTTTACATTCCCAGTGACATCATTGCAGTTGTAAGACTGATGTAAATACTGATAATCTGGATTGAATTAGAGTTAATAGTATCTGAGAAGATGATTGATGTTTTATTTAAAAAGATACTCTATCATCTTCAGTAAAAATAAATAAATTGTCGACATACTATCATTACAGTGAATACGTTTGAAACGGAATTTGCGGTTTCTTTTTATAAAGCTTACCCAGTGTTACTATTTAGCAGTCTGAAAAAAATAACAGACTGCTGGCTTACAAGAAATGTTTAAAAATAGTCTTTCACCAATTTTCAATTCAAAATGGCCACCAAATCAGAGCTTAGCGCTGTGGAGGTAATCACAAAATTGTTATTTTCACAGAAACACAATCAGGTAAACACTCTTTTTAAACACATATTGTCGTTTATTTCATGCTCAGATAAATTCGATGAGTGTTTAGTTCGTTCAATCTTTTTAAATTTGCCAGGTAATTCGTTAATTAGTGATTTTGATTTTTTAAATGTTGTTATTTGAGTTAGAATAACAAGTTGAAAACAATATCGCACAATAGCGCTGTATTACTGTGGTGTCAAATCTTCTATTTCTTGTGTGTTACAGGTGGCATATTCAGCAAAGGGCGAGACGGAACACGAGATCTTGCTGAAGCAGCCTTTCACTTAGCAATAGAGAAGATTAACAACGACCCAACGATCCTGCCCAACACAAATCTCACAGCCCTGGTTCGGAATTCCGAGTATTTAGTGTACCCCTTCGGTAACATCCAACATGGTGAGTTATCTGTAATATTAAATCTGCGCACAATATTATATTATGTGAATATCGAACAAGCATAATTACTATACGCGCCGTATTATATGCAAACTGGGAGTAGGACATAGTACTACGGGAGATTGACAGAGACATCAAATCCACTACTCTGAACTAGCTGAACATATACTTATTTGAAAATTGCTAACTGATTGTCACAAATAACTGGGGTATGGGGTATGGTGTTATGTCTTAATGACCAGATGTAGTAAGGAATATCCCTAAATATTGCGCTTTAGTTGAACCTCATCTTCGTTGCATTACGTTTTATCAACAATCTCCTTCGTCCTAACTAACTATTGTATTGTATTAATACTACAACCGCTCAGGTACCACTCAGGTATTGATTTTCGAACCCAGCATAGACGGACGTATCGAGAACAGTAATAATCAGTGGCGTTCACAATTTTTGCGCGAAACATCCTAAATCGTGTAGTACTACGTATGTTCTTTCCACCGTATGAACGTATAGTCGCCTGTCAAAATATATTTGTGTATAATGAACTCGTACTGTACTCCTGTACTGCACCGATGCGAGGTGCCTTTGTGCTTTTGGATTTTTGTCAGTTACGACGTTCCATGTTGCAATACGCTGCGTGGGAGAATCAATACCTGCATGGCACCGATAGTAAATTTAAAACAAAAGTACTATATTGAAAAAAACTGTTGTGGGAATTACACAGATGTTTTATGAAGAAAATATATTTAGTATAGGATTAACCGTTAGTGAAGTATGTAAATCAAAGTACAGGTAAATTCATCATATAATACTATGTATTATACATTCGATTCTAACGCTATGCAATGAATTATGCGTTTATTTCTAAAATTCGTATAGTTTTTTTTTTCTGCTACTACTGCCTTCGAACAAACACGCGAACTACCTCTGGTATATCTAGTATACGGCAATCAAGGTATTTTTATTTACCATACGACTATTTAAATGGGCATTATGCAAATATGGCATCAACACGTTCTCTCGTGGAAAGTCTCGCGAGACTGTTTTTATATGATTTGGTGCTTTTAAATCACAAGTGATGACATCACATCATTTACCGTGCTTTAAATCAGTATGTAGCTGTGAAATCATGTTTGTCGATTCTAACAGTAAATATTTATTTATATGTTAGACTGGTTTCAGTCAAGCATTATCGCGGCAGTGTCAAAGTCAAGTTTGCCACTTTTCGCAACTAAATCAACATTACGTTTACCACATCTTTTCATTAATTTTAATTAACAACGAGATTATATGAAAAAAATACATGAAATTATGCGAAGTAGTACACCAAATGTGGCGTTCAAAAGGTAGATGAAATGAACATATATTATGAATGTTGTCCGCTATAATGCGCATGCATGTGATTGTATATGATGTATACGCGCGGTTTTGAATACCTTGGTGAAAATGACACGAATTTTCACGTGTACATTTAATTAGATAAAGAAACATTTTTAGAACGAGATGTGTAATGCATTTGGTGAATCGCCTGAACAAGACGAACATAATAGACTATATAATTTCCAAAACCGTCATACACGCCAGGTGTGTATCAAGCGAGAGAGATAGATTTGTTTTTATCGATTTGACTGTGGAAACTGAGATTGACCTTTATTCCACGTGACAAGAATAACGTAACATATCAATCAGACGAGTTTTTTCAAACATTCTTCATGAGGTAAAACATGTGGATAAAGAAACCGTCTGAGCTAGTGAAGTGGGCAGAATAATTCCCGTATCTATGGTTCTACGACCAGTAATTATTCCGATTGTCTGGTTCGCTGACGTACATTATTTTCCACAAAAGGAAATGATTACACTTAAGCAAAAACATTAAAGCCAATTGATTTTTAAAGTACCTTCACGTTAGGAAACACAGTTATAGTTATGTGGTAGCGTGTTCAGGCAATTTCTCCATTTGTTGGTTAATTTGGTACTACAAGTTACTTGCAATTATGCAATGCGTTGGTAAAAACACTGTCACGTACGTGCAAGCTGTTTAAGATGAACTTTTTCATTTTCACTGAATTTTAGCATCTTATAATATTATTACCCCAATTCACCCACAACTCAAGATAATTGTAGATTACATAAAATATGACATCATGTCAGTTTAACGCGTAGACCCACGACTGTTTACAATAGTAATTATTTACAATCGTATCTGGCCTACAAAAGAACTACATGCTAACTACAACTGCTGTCACTGAACTCTATCTTCCACAATCTCGTGTCTACAAAATACAAAGCATCTATGTATATGCAGCTGGTATAACGATATCTAACTACTGCCTAAATTTCCCCCTGATATGGTGATTTCTAAATGTAAAATAACGTGATCATAATGTCAATGATTAGAATACTAAGATCACATGAACACGTGGTGAGTTCGATGAGCCATATTGCAAAAAGGAATCTCGTTATAAGAGTAATTGCACCGTAAATATATACTAACTGGTTCTCAGATTACAGTACGTCGCATGATATAAACTGTATTGTATGTAATGGTCCATTGAAACATCCTCTCCTTTCTCTGACCAGTGGTTATGATATTGAATGAGTATTATGGAGAAACTATCTTTTTGTTATTATTCATTAATACAGAAACATACAATGCTTATGTGATTGCGTTACGATTGATCATCATTCAATCCATGCAGTAAAATCATCGAAACGCGAGTTCCGTTTGAAATTACTATTGTTGTTGTCGTTTACAGTTGTGCGCATGTGCATAACAGCAGCACGCGTGACAATGGTATGATAAAATGGCCGTCGTAATAGATACAGATAAAAACGGGCGAAGCTTCATTTTATTCTAATCTAACGTGTCCATCAATCATATGATTGACTGCCTTGAGAGCAGGAAGCTGTGTGAAATTTAACGAGAATCATGAAACAGCAACATAAACGAGTTGTTACACGTACAGCGTATGTTTTAGACCTAATAGATTATATTACAATATAGTTGTAAATAATATACTCATTAGTCGTAAATAACTATATAACAGCCGAAGTTCACACGTTCATATGGTGTCTTTAACACGCGACAGTATAACAATGTTATTTATGTAAAGTCCGAGTGCCTTCAACTTTCCAAACCCATTTATGTACTGTTTACCCAAAACGTGCCATTTTGACTAAAACTAACCCGTAATGGTTAAGATGCACAGTGACATTAAGTCATCATTCGATTTTGCAAACTATTATTGTCAATTGTCGTTTTCTCAATAGCATTAACACTTCGACTGTGTACAGTACATAGCATTCGTAATAACATGTAATCTTTCATTCAAAACTAACGAAATCTGCAAGTCTATTGACTAACTCCAGCTGCTGTATTTTTTTTGAAGTAATGACTGCATTGATGTTTAATCGTAGATGAATTGGTAAGATCAAAGTAACTGTGTACAGCGTGGTACAAGGTACTAATTTACAGTTGCTGAACGCAAAAACATGTTTTCAGACCAAATATTTTCATGTCAAGTTGGCAAATGTATAATGTAGTGATGTATATATCCATAAGTGATATACAACAAAAAGCAACAAACCATTATGTACACTATTATGTGCCCATTTTTCAAGTGTCTAACTATACAGCATACACACAGCTCATAGGCTGTTTGTTCAAATTGCATTCCATGATCATTTCACGAATAATGTTAAATATAGTCAAATTAATGTATGAGGATGTGGGATATAGATTGTGTGATTAAGGTCGTAAGCATAAATATTTAGGACTTATTTTATCACGTAGGAAAAACTGGTATAAAGACGCGGGTAATTTGGTCGTCAAGCAAACAAGGAAATGTCTGTTTCGAAGGGTGTAGTTTTTTGCCAGTTAATACTGCCAAAACATTCTGTACATTGCCAAGATTTGGGGTTACAGACAATATACCGTAGCATATGCCGTAGGGAGAGTACAGCTTAAGTTTTGTAAACATTGGCTTTGACATTGGCAACTACGAAAACAGTGCTTTGAGAATGTGGAAAGATGCCAATTTCCGTTAATTCCGTTTCAAAGTGTATTAAATGTTAAAATGTAGAATAGTGAAACATGCATATATATATATTGGTGTACACCATCAATGAGATATTCTTCGGCAACAGAAGTGAAGCATATATTATTTCGATATGGTTTTAGTACGGCCTGGATAACACAGAGGGTTGGAAATTCAGATGTATTCATGGTATTATCAAAACATCGTATTGCATCATATTGCAACTTCAAAAGTATGTTATTGCTCACTGTAAGAGATATTGCTCACTGTAAGACATTGCTCACTGTAACAGACATTGCTCACTTTAAGAGACATTGCTCACTGTAAAAGACATTGCTCACTGTAAGAGACATTGCTCATTGCAATAGACATTGCTCACTGTAAGACATTGCTCACTTTAAGAGACATTGCTCACTGTAAAAGACATAGCTCACTGTAAAAGATATTGCTCACTGTAAGAGACATTGCTCACTGTAAGAGATATTGCTCACTGTAAGAGGCATTGCTCACTGTAAGAGACATTGCTCACTGTAAGAGACATTGCTCACTGTAAGAGACATTGCTCACTGTAAGAGACATTGCTCATTGTAAGAGATATTGCTCACTGTAAGAAACATTGCTCACTTTAAGAGACATTGCTCACTGTAAGAGACATTGCTCACTGTAAAAGACATAGCTCACTGTAAGAGATATTGCTCACTGTAAGAGATATTGCTCACTGTAAGAGGCATTGCTCACTGTAAGAGACATTGCTCACTGTAAGAGACATTGCTCACTGTAAGAGACATTGCTCACTGTAAGAGACATTCCTCATTGTAAGAGATATTGCTCACTGTAAGAAACATTGCTCACTTTAAGAGACATTGCTCACTGTAAGAGACATTGCTCACTGTAAGAGACATTGCTCACTGTAATCCATTGCTCACTGTAAGAAACATTGCTCACTGTAAGAAACATTGCTCACT